GGAAGAGGGATGAGCTACCCACCCCTTCCTAGTGCCTTCCTAGTCATACTTGTGTGTCTTGGGGCACATAGCATGCACCTAATAAATACTGTGAAAGTTTCTTTTTAGAGAAGAAGTGATAATTATTTCAGTTAAACCCATTGGGATTGTCTGAAACTAGGAAGTGACCTTATTGTCAGAGACAAAGTGAAACAAGGTTCTCAAAATAAAACACAAACATTTTAAACTAGGTGTGGCGGCACATTCCCGTAATTCTAGCACGGGTCAAGCTGAGGCAAGCCAACTGTAAGTTTGAGGCCATCCTGGGCTACATGGTGAGACTGTCCACCCAAAAGCACCTAATTTTTTTTCGAGACAGGGTTTCTCTGTAGCTTTGGTGACTGTCCCGGAACTAGCTCTAGTAGAACAGGCTGGCCTCGAACTCCCAGAGATCCGCCTGCCTCTGCCTCCCGAGTGCTGGGATTAAAGGCATGCGCCACCACCGCCCGGCCTAATTTTTTATTAGTATCTTTTGTGTTTCTTTTTTGAGAATTTCATACATATGTCCAATGTATTTTAATCATATCTACCCCCCACCTCCAACTTCCCCTGGATCCCCCAACATTGCCCCTCCCCATTTCATATCCCTTTTCTTCTTTTAAAAAGCAAACAGTCCACTGAGTCCAAGTTACTTGCTCTGTGTACAAGGGGCAGAGGGAGCCACCCACTGCAGCATGGGTACCTACCAGTAGCCACACCCCTGAACAAAAGTGATTGTCTTCCTATGCACCCATCAATGCAAATGGCTCCTCAGCTAGGGGTGGGGCCACGTGAACTCTCCTTTATCAAGCTGGCATTCTGCCTGGATTCATCTTGTGCAGGCAACCACCGCTGCTGTGAGTTCAGGAGAGCTACAGCCCTGCCATATCCAGAAGGCAGCACTTCACAGCGGTCCTTTCCATCCTCCGGCTCTTCCATTCTTTCTGCATGCTCTTCCTCAGTGTGCCCTGAGCCTTGGGCCTGAAAGCCCACGGCCACTTAGTCTCAGCACTTTGACCAGAAGTCTCTGTAGTAACCGAGAGAGGCCCACTGCAAAAACAGGCTTCTCGGACCAAGGCTGAGATTAGTGTGACTCTAGGGGTATACACATAAATATTTAGAACGGAGTTTTATTATGTATACAATATGCTGTCTGTGTGTATGCCTGAAGGCCAGAAGAGGGCACCAGACCCCATTACAGATGGTTGTGAGCCACCATGTGGTTGCTGGGAATTGAACTCAGGACCTTTGGAAGAGCAGGCAATGCTCTTAACCTCTGAGCCATCTCTCCAGCCCTAGAACGGAGTTTTGACTACATGACCCTTTAATAAAATAGCAGGCTGCCCCTAGGACCTATCACTTCTTCAGACATGGGCTTCTGATCAGCTTTACCGTGCCAGACATGAGTTCCCTCCTGCAGAGCAAGATCTGATCAGAGAGCAGTGGCCACAGCAGCCAAGCCACTATTGTCCCAGTGGCCTGCGAATGAAGGTTCCCGGAGAGAAGCTGCACCTTCTCTCTACAAGGCCAACTGACTGATTAAAAAATGAGTTTAGAGAGGCTGTAATGCTACAGTTCAGAGCCTAATAACAATTTATCTTGTGCTATCTTTAGCCCCCTAAACAGCCATTCCTTGACCACTGTTAATAGTTTCCATCACCCAACACTTGGGCAAAATGTCTAGCCTCCCCAATCGCTGGCACTTCCCGGTTCCAGGGATGCGCGTGCGCCATCAGGTGCTCAGGCAATTTACATAGCCACTGGGGCCCTCAAGCCCTACTTGACCCCTACTTGACAGACGTGCAGCGTGGTCGTGACACGTGATGCAGCTACAGCCACGTAAGCCCCGTGTGCACAGGCGCTAGGCAGCCTTTAAAAGCGGGACGTGTCCGCTCCAGGCTCTCTCTTTTTGTCCTTCTGAAGAGATCTCCCTCTCCCCACCCCATTTCTCTCTATCTCTCCCTCTCTCTCTCCCTGCACCAGCTTCCTCAGGCCTGCGCAAATGTCTTTCTCTTAATAAACACTTAAAGTGGGTTTCTTTGTGTGTTTCCTGATCTTGCTTGCTCCCTGTAATTTCAACCACCTTTGGGGCTGACTTAACACCCTTTGACTTAAAACCTTTTAGAATGTCATTAACTCAACAAAACCCAGTTTCCACCAATGAAAAAACTAAGAGCATCATCAGTTAGCATTTGAGGCAAATCTCTGAGATTTTTCCACTTTGCTGTAAGCATGTACTTAATATTTCCACCAATGTATTTGAAAAGCACACTGATTTATGACTTTTTTGTTCTGTTACTATGAAAACATCATAAAATTTAGGGTAACATAAGTCTGTGTTCCTAGGCCATAGCCATTCATATTTGCCTTCAGAATAATCTCTTATCCTCTTCGGGGTAAGAGTCATGCTTTTTGTGTTAATAGGGAACATTCTGAAAGATTTGAACATTTGGAAAACCTTTTTTTTTTTAAAAAAAAAAAGACAGGGTTTCTCATTGTAGCCCTGGTTGGCCTAGAAATCACTCTGTAGACCAGGCTGGCCTCAAACTCAGATCCACCTGCCTCTGGCTTCCAAGTGATGGGATTAAGGATGTGTGCTACCACCACCTGGTGAAAAGACTTAATTTTTAAAAACTGAAGATCATTTTTCAACCACAGTCTAAATATTTGTATTTATCTATTATGATTACATGTGTAGTTGTACATGCCATGGTACGTGTGCAGCTGGTTCTCTCCTTCCACCCTAAGTGCCAGGATGGAACTGAGGTTCTGTGCTTTCCTGGCAAGCATCTTTACCCACTGAGCCATCTTGCCAACCTTAAGCCTTTCTTCTAAGTGACAAAGAAATAGTAGTTTGAATGAAGTTGCTCAGTGGTAAAGCACTTGCTTAGCGTTGAAAAGCCCTGGGTTCTGTTCCTAGAACTGTAAAACAACAGCAAATCCCCCCAATACCCAAAGAAATGAAGTAGGAGGCTTGTCTACTTGCAGGAAATCGTCAAGCAATAAACACCTAAGCAATGACATCCTTCCCATAGATAAGAAAACTAACAAACATCAGAGACACTTGCTGAGGAGCTGGACTTCTCTTCAAATCTCTGAAAACTTGCCTAGTCCAAAGACACAGTTAAGGACAGTCTTATGTCTAGAAGATACTGGAGAAGTCAACAGAAATGTTCATGGAGAACAGGGGTCAGAACTAGACTACTCTGAGGGTAGCAGTAAAGATTTTTTTGGGGGAATCAAACTTCCAAGACTATCCCTGGGTGGATGGGTGGAACAAAATGATAGAAAAGCAAGCCTACTTTATATTGACAGTCAGTAGGGTGGGGGCTTTGAGCTGAGACAAGTTGTCTGTATTGACCTGGAACCAGATGCCCTTGTCTGAGATAGTTGACCTTTGGGGTGGATTTGAGATTCACGAGGAATGCTGAAGTTAAGCTTCTGTTTGTCCAGGAGCAATCCTGCTGTTTCCTAGGACACTCACCAGCACTGCCGTTAGGGGAAGCCCAATTTGGACCTAACAGTCCCACATACTTCATACCCTCATTGTAAGGAAGCCAGATCTGAAAAAACAATTCCACTCTAAAGCATTTGTGATGTTTTACTCCAGTTGTGAAATCCATGATTGATCCTGGTGTTTAGTTTCTTTATCAGAAGGCCACATGGTTGCTGCTGCTGAAGCCTGGAGCAACCTCAGAACCTTGTCTGAGCTAGGGGAAGAATTCAGAATTCTTGGGATTTCCCATTCATTGCTATAGGTTAGTTGCATCTAGAACAGACTTGACTACATCAAAACCTAAAATGACCTTTTCCAGTTTCATTGTAGATTGATGTTTCTTTAGGCCAGTTGTTCTCAAACTATGGGTCATGACCCCGTGACAAACCTCTGTCTCCAAAAATATTTACATTACAATTTGTAACAGTAGCAAAATTACAGTTATGAAGTATCAACAAAAAATAATTTTATGGTTGGTGGTCACCAACATGAGGAACTGTATTAAAGGGTCACAGAATTAGAAAGGTTGAAAACCACGGTTTTAGACAATGTAATCCAATAATGGCAATTACAGCTGAGCTTGTCAAAAAAGACACTTTCATATTTATTCAAATATTGAACCAGGCTAGGGGTGGTGATACACACTATTAATCCCAGAATTTGGGAGGCAGATCTCTGTGAATTCAAAGTCTGCCTGGTCTACAAAGTGACATAGAGCTATCTCAATAAATGATAGATAGATAGATAGATAGATAGATAGATAGATAGATAGATAGATGCATGCGTAGGTAGGTAGGTAGATAGATAGATAGATAGATAGATAGATAGATAGATAAAATACTGAACCAAATGTCCTTAACACTTACCATAGAGTAAGTCAGCTTAGACGTGCAAAGAGCAACCAGAGAACTAGGGGACTGGCAGAGCTGTCACCAGTGGAGTGCAGCACTCTAGAAAGATTGTGATGTAATCTGCTGGCCTAGTCTGTCACCTGGGTACCTTATCCCTTTAAGAGACAAGCACCATGTCCTCCCAACCTCCCCCCTTCTGCCTTCCTACTTCCTCTCCTGCTCTCTCTCTCTCTCTCTCTCTCTCTCTCTCTCTCTCTCTCNCCTCTCCCGCTCTCTCTCTCTCTCTCTCTCTCTCTCTCTCTCTCTCTCTCTCTCTCTCCTTCTTCTGGAGAGACAGCTTCAGCCTCTCTCTCTCCTCTTCCCTAATAACCCACTGAATAAACTCCATACCCAAGCTCTCTCTGCATGGCATATCTACTGTCTGTCTTCCACTGAGACCTCGGGCCACCTGCCAGGGGATCCGCCAAGGCCTCTGGTGGGACCGCTCACCCACCACCTCTTTATAAATGATAACAGTGATACCCATCTGTGACCTCCACACATGTGTACGAAGGTGCACATACCCAAACATATATACACATGCATATAACACACTAATTAATATTAATTAATTAATTAATCAAACAAAATCTTACCTGGCTGGGTGTGGTAGCGTTCAACTGTAATTCCAACATTTGAGGGGCTGAGGAAGCAAGATTACCATAAATTTAAAACCAGTTTAAACTATATAGTGAATTTAAGGACATATCATATATATACAAGCAAATAAACAGTCATTCAGGCATAAACAAACTATTTTTTTTCTTTTTCTTTCTTTTTTTGTTTGTTTGTTTTTCAAGACAGGGTTTCTATATGTAGCTTTGGAGCCTGTCCTGGAACTAGCTCTTGTAGACCAGGTTGGCCTCAAACTCAGAGATTGGCCAGCCTCTGTCTCCCAAGGGCTGGATTTAAAGGCATGCACCACCACCACCGGGCTAAAAGCCATTTTCAGATGGAGAAGATTGGAGAAGATAACCTTAAAAGTACCCTCTCCAGCTGGAGTCCTCCATTAAGATACTTTTTCGTCTGCTGGGTGTGGTAGCACATTTCTGTAATCTAGCACTTGGGGGGTTGAGGCAGAAAGATCTTGAATTCAAGATTAGCCTGAGAGACAAATGGAGACCTCGCCTCAAAAAAGCAAGAGTCTGGAGTATTTGGAGTTGAGGAGGAGCTGACTGCCATCCACGTGAGGCAGCAGATACAGGAATTAGCCAGAAAAAAGAGGGGAGAGATTAAGAGATAAAAAGAACTGTGGATAAAGAGGAGGGCAAGTTCAGGATGGGAAAAAAAGAAAACAAAAAAACAAAAAACAAAAAAACCCTATCCTCAGTTCCAGAAGATTTTATGGGAATATAAAGGAAGAATGCAAAGTCAAATGTAGTTCCTACAGGACTCGGACATCATCCCAGAGACATCCACCTGTGTTGACGGTGCCTCGCGTTCAACAACAACATGACATGACCCAGACCTGTGGGTCACTGATCCTTGAAAGGTATATATGTAAGTGGTTGGTAACTACCCGGAAGTTCCTTCCGTCCTGTGTCCCTTGTCCATTGAGGATTTTTCTCTGAGCCTATAGGATCTCAAAGTGGCTCTTAGCTGGGAAAGTCCCTTCAGCCAGAGCCCACTCTGCCCATCAGGGCCAAGCTTAGAACAGGCACTAGAAAGCCCTACTGGTCCTAGACAAATCCCTTCCCTATGACAGACTGTACAGTGTTTATGCCCAGTCGCCGGCACCCACAGAGTCGGGGCAGGGAGCAGGAAACAGGGTGGCAGGCAGGAGGATGGAAGTAGGAAGTGAAAATGTGCCTCAGAGAGGAGCCAGCTGCTGGGCTGCTTCCTGTGGATGATGCAACAGCTTCTGCCACAGGTGGCCAGGGGGTGACTGTGGTGGGCGTGTCCACAACTGACAGGCTGGGATTTACCTCACTAGGCTGCCCCAGGCATTCACTTATTCTAGGGACAGGAAGGTGGTGTGTCTGGGTGGAGGCAGGGCTTGCTTGCCTTCAAGGCAGACGATAGAGCCAACTGTTTAAACCAAGGTGCCATTGTTCACCTGCTGTTGTTGCTGGAGAAATGACCTGAGTTTGCATAAGTGTAGACTAGCTCAGCCTTGGGTAGTCAAAGATGGAACGAGAGGCAACTTATACCATTAGGTCTGACTACCTGAGCGTGTTCTCATGGTAAGCGTTGGTTTGGCTATACTGAAGGACCTGGGCAGGACTGGTAGCCTCTTGTAGGCCTTTGGTTTGAACCCCTGCTGTGGCCGGCTTTACTCAGAGGTCAGCATGGCGAGGACTTAAGTGTGCATGTTGGAAAGTTATCCTCATCCTTTTGGTGCTGGTGATGGGAGCAGAACCCAGATCTGATTCCTTGTCTGGGGTTCATTCTATTCTCCCTAACGGCAGGTGGGCTTGGAGAGCACGAAGGAGTGGGGACATCAGACCTTTCCAGATATCTCTATGCAATCAAAGGCAAAGCCACTGGAGAGGAAGCTCAGCTTCCCCAAAAGCGTTATTATTCTACTGCTTGTCTAGTTCCAGCGGTATTTGTTTGTTTGTTGCTATAACCGGCTCCTGTCCCTAGTGTCTGTCGTGTGCCCTGTGTGTAGTGTCGGAAAGGGTATAACCTCAGTAACCCCAGGACAGCATGCCTGGGCTTTAAAACCCACGCTCCCCAGTGATCCAGTTACTGGAGCTCCAGAGCCCATTCCCCTTGCGGGGAGGGGGGCGTGGATCAGTGCGGAGGGATCCCGCAGAGGATAGGCCTCATCGTTGCATCTCCCCCACATTGTCCAGAGGCTCCTCCTCCCTCTCAGCCTCCTGACCAAGGCTTTTCTCTGGGGACCCGCTTGGCAGTGCCAGCATCAGTCAGCAGAGAACAAACTGGAGTGAGAAGGTGGAAAGGGAAGGAGAAAATTGCCCAAAAGGCGGATTGCTATGCTGTAACGACTTGCGTTCGCTCAGAGCCCAAAGGCTCGCGTGCCGCGCAACTCCTCTGCTGCTGCTGCTGCTGCTGCTGCTGTGCATCCGGAGACTCTACCCGAATCCCCAGCTGGCAGGTCCTGACATTTGCTCTGTCCCAGTGCTGCTGGAGGAGAAAGGGCAGAGGGGGAGGGGTCTTCTTTGACAATGATGAGTGGTGGGAGTGAGGCTCCCGACCTCTCTGACCTCTTTATCCCAGACATCCCTTCTCTGGTCTCTCCCACTGGAAGGCTGGGCCTCTTGCTCTTTGACCCTAAAGGTTCAGGGTACCAGAGACCAAGCCACCAGTGTCCTTCAGAAGTAGCCTGAGGGAGCACGTGGGAGAGAGGGCCCAGAAAGCAACACCACAAGAGGGTCTGAGCCTCCTCCTACCCTCCTGCGATGCGTTTAGCCAGCCTGAGGCACAGGCCCCAGGAGAGCGTCAGTGATGAAGATACAGGAAAGGATCCAGTGTGTGAGTAGCAATGGAGGATTCCTCATGCTTTCCTGAGCCCCTGGTCCTTCACCTCCCAGTATGTGGCATGGGTCCTAGGTCACTCTGACCCTCTGACGGTCTCCTGTGACCACGCCTCCTGGGGAAATATGTACCTCCTTTTGGCTCCAGCATGTCTTGCTGAACATCTATCAGTTCCTGGCCAACCTTGACCCTCCTCCCCTCTGTCTCTCATCTAGGATTAAAATTCTCTTACAGGAGCAATCACAGACCACAGCCCTCTGGACACCTGCTTCATTCTTTACTTTTTTCGGAGGAATTTTGAGGAAACAGGAAATAACAGATAGTAAAGGCAAAGGGAGCCTGGGGTGGTGGTGCATGCCTGTGATCCCAACTTTTGGAAGATGGAGGCAGGAAGATCAAGAGGTCATCTCTGGCTATACACAGTTTGAAGTCAGCTGACTACACACAAGGCACTATCACAAAAAATAAAAAGGAAAAAAAAGGGAAAAAAGAAAGGGAGAGAGAGAGAGAGAAGAAGGAGGAGGAGGAGGAGGAGGAGGAGGAGGAGGAGGAGGAGGAGGAGCAGCAGCAGCAGCAGCAATAGTGGCGCAAGCCTTTAATATTAGCACTTGGAAGGCATAGCTCTGCGAAGCCAGCCTGGTCTACAGAGTGTGTTCCAAGAGAGCCAGTGCCACACAAAGAAACTCTGTTTCGAACCACGCCCCCTACCCCCCCCCAAAAAAAAAAGAAAAGAAAAAAAGAGCTGAAGATGGCTCAGCTCAGCAGTTAAGAGAACTTAAGGACCCAGGGTTTCGTTTCCAGAACCCACGTGGTGGTTCACACCCATCTTTAGCTCTAGTTTCAGGGGATTCCACCTCCTCTTAGGACCTCTTTAGGCATCAGACACACACTGTGGCAGGGATCGCTTCCTTTCCCTGACTTCTGCTCCCCCTCTGCCCTTCCTCCCCTTCCCTCCTCTCAGTGTTTTCCCTAAATTCATCTTCTGGAAAATCTTTGCTGCTAGCCCTCTATAAAATACAGATTCCTCAGCCTGGCATTATTCCAGGGGCACCTCTGCAATCTGACCCAAACCCACCTCCCCACACTTACACGTTTAAATCAAGGTGAGCATATCAAAGAGTTTGGTGAAGCGGCCTGCCCCTGCTTCTTGGACAAGCTTTCCAGATGAGTGCTTTATTCTAGCTTCCCGCCTCTCTGGGCCTGGGCTGTTATATTTGGTTTTCACTTAATGAAAACTTCTCAAAAAAAAAAAAAAAGAAAAAAAAAGAAAAATTCTCCATTCTTCTAGGCTTGACTCAAAAATCTTTTCATTCTGAATTTTTCTGCACCCATCAGCCATCATTATCCTGAAAATGATCATCATTCCCGCTGCTTCCCGTTATTCGCAGGCGTAGTAGAAGCTCACTGAGGACAGGCACCGGAAGTCTGGCACTTAGTCCAGTACCCGGCACATAGTAGGTGTTCAAGAAATGTGCAGTCCTCCTTGGATTGACCATAGTACATGGGCGGCGTTTTGCTTTCCAGGCCCACGCAGTTTTCCGACGCTACCACCAAGTATGTCGGCTGCCCAAGCTGCCCCTTTGATCTCTCCTCTGCCAGAATCTTTTTTCGCCGTGTTCTTGCCCAGTCCAGAAGAGAGGATGTGGGTCTCTCATAGCACTTGTTGAAACCAAATGTCATTTGGTTACAGACACGTACACACGTGTTCTCCTGCAGCTTTCTTCGGACCCGCCCAAGCAGGCGAGGAGGCGGTTTTTGTTTTTGTTTTCTTCACTAGGGACCGACAACTCGTTTTTTCCCCCACTACAAGTTGCAAGCCGCTGAGAGCTCCTTGCCGCCTTCTGAACCGTCTTTCTGGAAGCCCCGCAATAATTCAGCCCATTTCCAAGTAGACAAAAGTCACTTTGGCGTCCTGTCCCCCCCCCCCGCCCCCCACCTAGTGGAGAACCCAGGGGCTCTCTGGTGCTTCTGGGGCCTGTCTTTGGAACCGAATCTTCACCCGACACGGCGCTCCAATTGCGCTTCTAGCGAAGGTCAGAAATGCGCTCGGCCCCTTATAGTGTTTCCAAGGGAAGGTTCGTACATTAGTGACCGTCCCTGGCAGCTGCCCAGCCTGAGACTTGGAGCTCCACTTGTCATTGGTCAATGGTTGGAGTGACGCGAGGAGGGGCGGGGCCTCATCAGCTGTTTGCGGGATGCCCGGAGCGGGCGTATTTTGGAAACAATACCGCGCGGTGCGCCGTGGCCCTCCTCCCGCGCCAGCTCGCGCCTGCAGCAGTCGCTGCCCCAGTTCGCGCCACCGCCTCCCGCCGCAGCCCGGTGAGCGCCCGGGCGGCCGGGGGCCAGGCGGAGTTGGATCGTACCTCCTCTGGGAAGTGGGGAGCGGAGTCGCGGGGGGCGTGGGGGCCCGGGAAGGGTTTGGATTGTGGGCATCTGGGGTGACCATGAGGAGTTGGAGTGCCGGGATGTGGGAACGGGGTGCAGAGCACAAATTTGGGCGTGCTCTTCCAGGCGGGGCTTGCGGGAAACATCGGAAACTAGTACTTAAGAGTAGGTGGGCAAGTGACCCTAAGATGCACTGCCAAGCGCCCTGAACGCTCTGGCCTCCGGGTCTGACTCTGGGGTGGGGCCGTGAGTTGTGGTGCATTTTGCCTCCCTGCGGAGTCTGAAGGGTCCTCTTCTTAACAGCTGGAGTTTGCCCCCTCCTTCCCAATCGAGCGTGGGCACCAAGCCCCCCGAGTGCTCGTCACCCTGGACCCTGGCTCAGAGCCCTGGCATCACGACTCGGAGGCTGAGACGCTGTCCTGGAGTCACCCAGGTGTGTGTGCGCTCGTGTGTTCTGAGATTTTAGTCACTATCGAGCTACTGCCAGCTCCTATGAAGAGGAGGAGTTTTAATTGAGCATCCCAGTTGGAGCTCTGAGGCTCTGGTATGGCTTCAGCGGACTTTAATCCCTTTGCTAGGAAAAAAAGCGTTCTCTGACTGTGCTCTCAGGAAGTGCCCTCTTCCTATCATTACCACTTTAGCTCAGGGAAGCCGAGGGTTTACTTTTCCCCGTTTTATATGGCTTTGCCCAGAACCCCCCGGAGGCTCGCACCAACCGGAGAGCCACCTGCAGTTCTTGTGCGGAGTGGGAGAGGGTCTCTGCGTTTTTCAGAATCACACTCTCTGTCTGCACCTCCCCCACTGTCCAGTCTAGTTTAGGGTTGAACTTTGGGGCTTTGCTGCGAGGGGGAGGGGAGTGATAGGCATCAAAAGAAACACCAAGACAATGACGCCCACTTGTGATTGGTTCTGGAGGGTCCCCACTTTGGTTGGGATTGCCAGCCTGCGGAGAAGGGGTTGAGGGACAGGAGAAGCCCTGCTAGGTGACAGCTCTTGGTCCTTTTATCTGGGAACTTGATTTTTCTGTTGCTGATAAGTTGGTGTTCCCCCTGACCAATTGGAACAATATCCAAAGATCTCTTCTTTGCCATCCTAGCAGGCATGGCATCGTTCTCCAGGGAAGAGAGCAGAGAGAAATGAGACTTCAGTTAGCTCAGGGATGGGATGAGGTGGAGGGAAGCTGAAGCAACCTCACAGAGCTCGCATTTGGGAAAGGAAGGTTTCTGAACTTAACTGAGATTTCTTTAAAGGCAAGGATTTAAAAAAAAAAGGTTTCTTAAAAAACCCACAAACCACTTGGCAAGACCCTGGGGTGCCAGACCTCCTTGAGAGTCTCTAGCTGAGTCCGAAGGTGACAGAATTTGTTTTTGCATCTCCTTGACCCTTCAGGTGCTTGCCACTGCTTCTGGTTGCCCCACGGGCATGCTTGGAAGCTCGAGCTGCTGGGTGACTCCAAGGGCAGAATTTCAAGAGCCGTCAGGTGGAGCGTGAGGAACTTAGCACCGAGAAACAGCCCTATGGTGTAGGCAGTGAGAGAGTGCGCGGCAAGCGGGCGAATTTCACTTCCTTCTGTGAGGCACGTTGTACCTATCTCAGGTTCAGCTCTGGCAGGAGAGGGAGGCTGAGGGGATGAGAATTTGAAGTCATGGAGATTAGTGGGTAGAGTTAGCTGGACACTTTGCTAGGGGCTGATCCCACCCTGTTTAACCTGTGGTGGGCAGACAGCTCTGCTACACTGGAAGAGAGCTGAGCCAGGCAGCTGGAGTGACTAGCTTCGGTCCCCTGTTCCAGGACACTCTCACCACACCACAGAGCCTGTTTGTTGTGTTGTGCAAGGAGGGGTGGAGATGTGCAGGAGGGTGGGGCTTAGCACGTTAGGAGGGAACCTGGCGGCTCTACAATTGCTGGCTTTTGTTTTTGCTGCTGAGCCTGGAGTTCAGCTCAGACTTAGGCAAGAGCTTGGAGGTTCCTCCTTAGTGTGTGTGTGTGTGTGTGTGTGTGTGTGTGTGTGTATACGTGTACATACATATGTATATTGTGTACACTTTGTACTGTTAGTCACTGTCCCTTTATGTGTCCCCCACAGTCACTTATAGAGATGAGTCTTGCTTATATTTTCCCAGGTACCCTGTGGTAGCCCCTGATCTTATCCCTTGCTTACAGCCCTCAGTGTCAAACTTTGTGACCCACCAAGTCAGAGGGGGTGGGGCAAGGTGACTGTGGTGGGTGCAAGGAGGAGATATGGAGGGGTCCTGACCATTGGGGTGGTCCACACTTTAGGGGTGATTATCACCCTTGGCAGTGTTTTATCACTGGGTTGTGTATCATCAGAAGCTAGCTTGGTTCCCTCAAAGAAGAAGAATGGGAGAGGAAGGAGGGAGGAGAATCCTTGGTCTGGCCTCAGTAGGACAGCATTCCAGATGCTTCCATTGTTCTCTGACAGGAGAGATGGAGCCACCTCAGTGTGTGGAGGAGCTGGAAGATGATGTGTTCCAGCCAGAGGATGGGGAGCCAGGGACACAACCTGGGAGCTTGCTCTCTGCGGACCTGTTTGCCCAGAGCCAGCTGGATTGTCCCCTCAGTCGGCTTCAGCTCTTCCCCCTCACCCACTGCTGTGGTCCTGGGCTCCGGCACATAAGCCAGGAAGACAAGGCCACCCAGACCCTCAGCCCAGCTTCCCCAAGCCAGGGTGTTATGCTGCCTTGTGGGGTGACAGAGGAACCCCAGAGACTCTTTTACGGTGAGTGCTCTTAGCCTTAGAGATTGGGGGAAACGAGGGGACTTTCCCTTGCCAAACCTGCTGGTTACTAGTCCCTTCCCCAAACTGAACAGCCAGGGCTATCTATCGATCCTTCAGCCTTCTTCACCTTGCTTGGGCCCCCAAAGGACAAATTGCTCTGCTCCTTCTGTTGCTTCCTGGAGGGATCCTTGGGTCCATGCAGTCTCCTTCACATCCTCATGTCTTTTCTGTGGCTCTGCATTTTGGGCCCCGGTGCCGATCTGTCTTTTACGGAGTGGAAGGACTATTAACTGTGTGTCCCTGTTGACACTCAAGGAAAAGCCCAGCCAGTTCTTATACGGAAGGTTCCTGAAGACAGAAGGTGGCTTTGAGTTGTCACTTGGGACTTTCTGTGCTTGGAAGGGGAACTGGAGAAAGAGGTTGGGCCTGCCTGGGCTCAGCGCCAGAGGAGGGGCTATTCCCAAGGCTAAATCAGACAAGACCCCTTCATTTGTGGGCTTAAATGGTTTGTTTTATGAGAAATCTGCCCTCCTCTGGCAAAAGGGCAGGATTAGACACTTGGTCTGTTTTCTTCTTTTAGCACACTGGCCTGTGGAGGGAGGGTAAAGGCTCAGAGGTCACCCTGCTGTGTCTGCGGGAGGAGACTGAGAAGCCGCTGCGCTTAATCTCAGAGGGAACTGCCCATAGGGCACTTCTGGAAAAGCAGTTCTGGCAGGAGTCTGAGAAGCTGGAGGAGGCCTGCTTCGGGCTGGAAGAGGGAGGAGGCAGGAGGTGGCAGGCGCCCCCAGCGGCCATTCTGGTGCCAGCACGCGGTGAGCCGACTTGGCTGCTATGTGAGCCTCAGGAGTTTTCTCATTGGCTTTTCTGCTGCTCTCTCATCTTGAGTGCTGAGCCCAGCTTTCCTTAACTGTACTAGAAAAACGAAGACACTTTTTTTTTTTTGGTTTTGTTTTGTTTTGCTTTTCTCTGCTTTGCTCAGCCCACGAACTCTGGAGAGTTTTCCCAGAGAAAAGCTTCAACCTGCCACTACACGAACAATACATCGAGGTCAAGTATAGCTTGATAAATGACAGATTATTGGCGTGTTTGTCATTCACATTAGCACCTGCGCTATGCTATGGTACTGAGAGTGGAGAAGAAGGCAGGGTCAATTTTCTTGTCTGTTTTTCCAGTGTGCGTGTATGAGTGTGCGTGAGTGATTGAATCTAAACCCTCGAGTGTGTTAAATATTCAACTACTTCTAAGCTACACTCTCAGCCCTTGTACCAACTTTTATACTCTTGGGCAGCTCTCCAAGTTTGGCAGAATGCCCTGGTAAAGGCAGGCAGGCCGCTTCCCCTTCCTTCTATCATAAGGTTTACCAGTAACTCCAGGTCTTGCCATGGAGAAGATGGGGTAGGGATAGAAAATGCTGAGCTGTGGCTCCTCTATCTTTGCAGGCAATGCTGGCTACAGGCTTCCTCTCCCTGCCAGTTTCCCCGCAGGCCTGCCCCTTGGGGAGCAGCCCCCTGAAGGACAGTGGCAGCATCGAGCGGAGGTACAGATCGCCAGAAAGCTTCAGTGCATTGCAGACCAGTTCCATCGGCTTCACATGCAGCAAGTAGGCCTGCGGGGTTGGGGGGGGGCGGGGCTTGAGACCGCTGGGGCTGGGAAGCCAGGGCCCGCCTTTGTCCTCTCCGTCAGTTACTCTGGAGGTGCCAGGCTTCAGGATGTGTTTCAGAGTTTTGGCCTTGGCTGCTGTCCTTATGATGGACTGGGTAGGCGCAGTTAGATGGGTACTCTTGTCCTTGAGAGCTCCAGCTGTCTACTTAGCTTCACGAGAGGTGAGAGAGATACTGCGATCCCTCCCTGCCAATGGGATGGTTTCCTGCAGGCTGTCAGGACAAACTCCCCAGACCCAAGTTGGGGGCTTGCCTCTTGGAGAAGGCTGAAGTGAGCAGTTGGGGGTGTGCCTGGCCGAGGAACAGTGGGAAACCGGTAATCAGTCCTGAGCTGGGGCCTGAGTTGGGGAAAGTGGTAGAACCGGTTGAAACCTGACACTTTCCAGCTGGGGAGCCACTCCTCACTGTCTGCGTCTGGGAACCCAGGCCCAGGACTCTGGAGATTGTACCTCAGAGTCTCCCCAGACCTGCGACCGGCGGCGGGGCGCTCTGCCTGGTGCTTGGCCGGCGGCCTGGCACCAGCCCCGCCAGGGCGGAGCATCGCGTGTCAGCCGAGCATGTGGCAGAGTCCATCAACAAAGGCGGCGGCTGGCAGGCTCGTGCGTGAGCCCGTTGTGCCATGGATGGGAGGCTGCCTTGCTCGACAGCTCAGCCACCGGCTGTGCTGGGCCCCCAGGTGCTTAACCCTTCCCAGACTGGCTGGCTTTTTGGATGGCTGCCAAGGCAGGGGCAGAGCCTGAAGCTTGTTCCTTGCTGGTACAGATACTACCTGGCAAAGCCACAACACAGAAAAATGAACACAATCTCTACCTATAGGACTGTGTTCCTATCCTAGCAGCGTGTGTGTGTGTGTGTAGATCACAGGAACAAATAACTATCAGGGTTGGGCACAACTGGGATTAGATGAATAACTTCAGATGACCAGAACAGTTATTGGCAATAATAACTTTAATAATAACTTGCGAACAAACCATGGCCAGCGGCAGTGGGTGGAGGAATTGACCTTGAGTTTTCTGAGAACAGGCCACGGGGCATTATTGGTATACTTCTCTGTCAGGGAGCCTGAGAGAGATTTGGGGCCACAGCTGTTTCTGAAGGGTTCTCCCCAGCCCTTAAGTGATGTGGACAGAGGGTGGCCCTGTGCTTAGGTTATAAGGGGGCCTGGCTAATTGCTGTGGCAAAGCCACAGTCTCCATTCCCTCTATGATTATATTGTACAAACTGCCATCCATGTGTGGATGCTTCTGATTCTTGCTTTCAGCCTCTTGGCCTCCATCCTGCCCGTTTAATCCACCTTGGTTGTACAGTCCGTGGCGCAGCCCAGCTCACGCATGGCGTTTGGTCCTAATGCTAGCGTGGGAAGACCCAGTGGCTGTACTCTAGCCTACTCATCTAGAGCACATCTGGAAGACATTCTTCATTCACAATGACCTGGCCTCTTCAGCAGCTGTGTCCTGGATAGTCCCCTCTCCGGTAGTGCCCTGACATATTGGAGACCAGGCTAGAGGCCTCTTTGCTGCTCACCTAGGCTCAGGAGGAGACCCTATCCTGAGGTCTCCTGTAGCAGGCTTTCTTGGGCTGCCAACCCCCAAATCATGACACGAGACTTATTATTAATTATGAATGCTTGGCCTTAGCTTTAGGCTTGTTTCTAGCTGGTGTTTATTTTTCTATTTTTCTTTTTTTAAAAAAATGATTTTTCAAGACAGGGTTACTCTGTAGCTTTGGCGCCTGCCCTGGAACTAGCTCTTGTAGACCAAGCTGGTCTTGAACTCACGGAGATCTGACTGCCTCTGCCTCCCGAGTGCTAGGATTTAAGGCACATGCCACCACCGCCTGGCTCTAGCTAGTGTTTTTAAAACTTAAACTAACCCATTTCTGTCAGTCTATGTGCTGCTCCAAGACTCATTTACCTCACCTATATACTGTCCCTCCTGTTTGCTGCTTCTACTTCCTCCTTGTCTGTGTCTGGCTGACTGGGCCACAGCTGGCTTCTCACCCCCCCACCCACACACACCCCAACCCCATTTTCTCTCTGTCTGCAAGCCCCACCTATTCCCTCCTTTGCCTAGCTATTGGCCAGCCAGATGCCTTAGGCAGGCAAGGTGAAACAGCAACACATTTTTACCTAGTTAAACAAACACAGCCATAAACAAAAGCAACAAACCTTTTCATAATTAAACAAATTCAGCATAAACAAATGCACCACTTTTTTACATAGTTAAACAATTATTCTACAACACAAATGCAACACATCTTTCCATATTTAAACTAATACTCTACTCCAATACAGTGGCCCCTGCTCTCTGCTAGCTGATACCTTTCTCCTGGTTTAGGGCTGCTTCTTTGAGAGCACAGGTCAGTTCTAGATGAGGTGCTAGCCTCTCGTCCAGAGCGCCCCCAAGAGGTTAGAAGGAGAATTGCATGAGTGTTAGTTGCCCTTTAGTCCTTGTAATAGACTTCAGTGATGATGATGATAATGTGGAATCTCAGCCCAGGCTGCCCACTAACTCACTACGTAGCTGAGGATGGCCTTTAACATAAGACCCACCTCTTAACTGCTGAGATTGCAGATTTGCACCATTGTGCTCTATCTTTGTGGTGCTGGGGTCCAAACCCAGGGCTTCCTGTATGCCAGGCAGGCACTCAGCCAACTGAGTTCTCCCTCTAGTTGTTACCACTATTTCTCTTCTCCGTTTCCTGCCCAGGAATGACGCAGATACAGGGTGGCATGCTGGCAGACGGGGTGTATTCATCGTGGATGAGTATCATGGGTCAGATGGGATAGGGTGATAAATGACAACACCAGACTGCCCTGGGTGTTAGTTTATGTTGGCCACATTCCTTCTCCCTCTGTGCCATTTCTTATCTCGCCGTGTTTCCTGAGGAGGGTGGCTCCCCCAGTGGCTGCTTCAGAGTGGCTGCTCTGGATTCATAGGCGAGAGTCTGTAGGCAGACATCGGCAGGTGTTGCTCACTGCGAGTTCCTTGGTTTCTAAAGCAGTGAGAAAGATAGAGGCAATGTGAGTGGAGGTGGAACCTTCCTTCCTTCCTTCCTTCCTTCCTTCCTTCCTTCCTTCCTTCCTTCCTTCCTTCCTTCCTTCCTCTGTCCCTCCCTCCCTCCTTTCCTTCCTCCCTCCCTCCCTCTTTCCTTCCCTCCCTTCCTACTGGGCTTGGGTAGGTGTGACAGGGACTTGCTATGTAACTTAAACTGGCTTCAGTCTCCCTGAGTACTGGGATTACAGGCACGCACCGCCATGTCCAGCTTTTTCAGACTTCCCTGTATATTTCACCTTTTTCTGCTGGGTCGGAGGGAGGCTCCTGTTTGGCTTCTTTCAGCTGACAGGCTGCAGCAGGGATCTCTAATACCATGCTGCCCAGGGTATCCTCAGATTTGGGTTCTGAGAGGATGGCCCCTCCGGTTTCTCTGTGAAGCGGGAGGATCAGATTCAGTTCCTGACAAACTTGCAGCTGCCCTGGTTCAGAAGGTTGGCGCCTCTGTTGTCCCGTGTTCTCTGTGAGTAGCCCCTCCAGCCACTGTGGGCCCAGGGACAGTCGGTACCTTGTCTCCTACCCTGTGGAAAAGCCTGCTGTGGCCAAGTCTAAAGGGATATTTCTAGAGACTGTTGAGAAACTCACAAAAAGTAGCTCCTGTGGGCCCTTGAGTAAGTGAACAGGAGGTTAGGGTTCTTTATGTTGGGATTTTCTTTCTTTCACTTGGCCCGTGAGTGACTCCATTCAGAGAAAAATCAGATTTAGAAATTCCCTAAATAGTAATTAGATACTTTGGAAAATGAAATCTAAGGAAACTTTCAACCCCTTGTTTGAAACCAACTTCGTTTGTATTATCAAAGGAAGGATGGTGGACTTCCAAGCGGGTCTGGAGAGAATTCCCTTCCTGTCACTTACACAAGCTGTGTGTTTATGAGCGGATCATTTTACAGGTCCAGACCTCAGGTTCCAAAGCTAACCTTGCAGAGTTGCTGTGAAAGGCCTTTGGGAACGGTAATAAAAGCACTACTGGCCTGTGCTTATAGCTCAGGTGGGCATTAGAGGCTTGCCTAGCATCCTGGAGGCCCTGGCTTTGATACTCCTGGCTGCAAAACAAAAACAAAAAAAACAAAAAAAAAAAAACAAAAAAACAGAAGGAACTATGATTGCTTGGAGAGTTGAACACATGCTATTAGCAAGGGTGGAGCAAGGCAGAAGGATCGCAAGTTCAAGGACCACCAGGGCAACTTAGTCTCACAAAGGAAGCTGTACATCAGTGGGAGAAAGCTTACCTAGTACGTGCACACATACACCATGAATTTGGCATTTTGTTTGGGCCTGACTTTATAATTCTTGGGGAGCTCTTTCGGAAGTTGTACCCAGATTGCTGTCTGCATGGTTCATCGCCTAGTGGCTTCTCTGCCCAGCATCCTGGATCCTTTGTTCTGGGAATCCCTGACTGCTTTCTGACCCTTAGGATGCTCTCCATGTTGGTGAGTGGTTTTTCTGGAGCAGAGACCATGGCTAATGAGGTCACTCAGGCTCTAGAGAGCAGGGGCCCCAGAGATTTGTCCTAGAGTGAAAAGTGCCCCCAGGAAGCCATCTTCTGTCCCAGGAGTAGGAGGTCTATGCAGGACAGTGCTAAGGGAAAAGTGAGACTGGGGGAGGGGTCGCTGCAAGCCTAATGTTCGTGAGAGCCTCTGCTGGGGCTTGGGGGCCCTGTGTTTGCTCTGTGGCTGGCTCTGTTTATATCACTCGCTATATTTAGCTTCTGAGTCATCAGCGTGGCAGACTGGAGGCCGAGTTCCCCACACACTCTGCACCTGACTGTTCTTTCTTCCAAGAGAAGGCCTTCTAGTTCCGGGCAGTTCATCCCTCTCTGCCCACCAAGGCGGGCCATAGGGATGGGAGTTAGCTTTGGTGTGTTTTCAGGGTGGGGGGTGGGGGGG